CTTAGAATACACTTTTAAAAGTTGAAGTATCTTATCTTCGCCATGCAAAGCCTGCCCAGCCCATCTGAGATCCGAGCCTTTTGGTCTACTTTTGGAATATACCCCTTTATAAAGTTTCTGAATCATACAGTACTACTGTACTGGGATAGTTATGATATGGTATGAATCGATTTTGGTTTCCACTGACACCCTGCAGCTTACTGGTCAGTTTTCTGGAGACCTACTACGCCGGTTGACATTTTCATTACGAATACAATGTGTACTGTATGCATACTACTACTACTTATGAATACTGTATGTATGTATACTTATATTCAAACATTTAGAAAAAGATGTATCAACACGTAAACCACTTATATTTTAAATTATTAAGCACTTAGGCCTATACTTAGACGGATTGCATTTATGACAAAACTTGATTATACGATTAGATGTTTAGTTCATAACTAAACAATCCCCTGATAACATAGATCTTTTACGGTAGCAAAGAAATTACATTCTAAAGTGAAATAGTGTGTAGGCGAACTCAGACGATCCAATATTTTTGTATACAAACAACTTGTAACATAAACATTTCAATGACAGTTAGAAACCAGCTGTTAGTTAAACCACCATTAAAACGACTTAAAACTCGCCCGTCGGCTGCTAGATTTTTTGAAAATTTAAACTTAATTTCTAAAAAAACTGAAACCCTAATCTAAAATTATGGCTTCGACATTCCCTAGTTCTCAAAATGATCTTTCGTTCAACACAAAAATCATGAAAATCCGTCAAGTGGTTGATTCAGAATCGTGAAATAAAGAAACCCTGTCACGTTTTAATACATAGGATAATTAATTACACAGGCTTATAGAAGTCCACTTTTAACCACGGTATGGATAAAATGTCTAGGATATAATTGTATAGCCTATTGAATAATTGTTTGTAGTTTATCAGAAAAATGTATTTTATTTATTCTTGCTGTCATTCATTATTAGGAATATAACTTGCATAATATTTAATTAATTCATTCACTGTACTACAATTTATTCAGTTCTAAAGCCAAACAGCCGGGAGATGGACCGGCCAACGCTTAGTCGCTTACTACAGTATGATCCATTCGCCAATCGTGGGAGTACAGCTGTTTTAAAATAAAATTAAAATAAGCTCAAATTCAATAAAAATTATATAATATCTAATATAATTAAAATTAATTTTTGGTTCTAATATTCCAGATTATCGACAGCTACAGAACTCTACCATAGTGTCTTATCAAGGCCATTCTAGCCTAATTCGAAAGGGCTTTTCCCAACTTTAATAGCGTAGTCAAGTAATCAAGTAATCAACATAATCAATTAGTCACGCGACATGTTAAATACCACTTCCTTAACCGTCTCAAAAATAGTATTGTTAACAAAATTCAAATAAACAGCAATCTGACACATACTTTCATCCAGACCGCCTACTAGCTCCGAACAAGCCTCTCACACGAAGTATACGACAACGCGCAACATAACGCTACGATTTTATTACGAAGGTTAGCTACGTTTATTTCCCGTTATAACTTACGCATACTCATCTGCCACTTATTTTACCCGCTCCAAATTAGATTTTCAATATCTAAATTTTAGTAACTTAGTTTTGCCGACTCGTATAAATCCCCACCAGTTCCTACCTGTCAGTGAATAGCGGTGGATATATTTCGGTTTGTTTGGATCAATTAGCTACGAAAGTACATTTGTTCCGTTCGCTTAACGAATAAGTGTTACGTACATTTATTTGAGTTAATTCGTTGTTTAAATACCCCGAAACTCGTCATCTGAGTTCTAAACCCCGTTTTTTTTTTGTTTTTTCTTGGCGGGTGAAAGAACCAAGTCTTGGGAGTAGGTTGATTCGAACAATCAGCTACGAATATTAATATAAAATTTGTTTTAAACCGTATCGTGATAAATTCTCCGTTCGATTATATTAAGTAAACCCCGACAGCTCTGTAGGGATTTTATTCAAGATTTTGTTTATTCGATCGTGGAATTTTTATTAATTTTTACTAGAGCTTTTAGCATCTTGTGCTTGTATGAAACACTTGCATTAGCGAAATGCATTTGTTTTAGTGTTTACCGTCCACTAAAAACCAGTTTGCTGACCACTTAGACCAGTAAAATTAGCTAAAACATTTGCCGTGCCTTTAAATCATTCTCGAAAACCTGGAAATTGTTTTAAAGTGTTTATTTTATATGTAAGTAAAAGGAATTAAAATTTATCCCACAGGGGGATGCCTCAAATCAAAGAAATAAAATAAGCCAACTTAGGCCTATATTACTTAACATAGGTTATCAGTAAGGCAGCAGTTATTTTTTCAATTCTCGGTGCAAATAGAGATACTTAAAATTAGTTTCTCCAAAAATCAACATATTACTCCAACTGTAAATTAAACGTTTGGTAATTGGTAAGGCTCGAACCCGTGAACTTCTGGCTCATACACAGCCAACTACTAGGATGAAACATAAATTCAGACCACCCATCATCCCAAGAGTACATAACACCTACGAAATGTAAATTTAACATCCAACATTTGGTGGCCTTTACAAAGACCATTTTTTATGCTCAACGGTAAAGTTCCACTTAAGCCTTCTTTCAGTTGTTTTTAACATTGGATACATGAATTATCATTTTTGTTTTGCATTTGTTATGGACTACAGCAAGTAGATATGTATAAAATAAAATAAAAATATATAATGTTTTGTTTGTGATTGGTGGGAATCGAACCCGCAAACCTCTGAGATCAAGGACTCACACTACTACCACTACGATACGATACGATACCATACCAAAAATCAACATATTACATCAACAGTAAATTAAGCGTTTTGGTGATTGGTAAGGATCGAACCCGTGAACCTCTAGTTCATACATAGCTTCATAAACTACCAACCGCTAGAAACAAACATCATTTAGATTACCTCTCATCCCAAGAGTACAAAACACCTACGAAATGTAAATTTAACATTTAACATTGGTGGCCTTTACAAAGGCCATTTTTTATACTCAACTGTAAAGTTCCAATTAAGCCTTCTTTTAACTGTTTTTAACATTCGATACATGAATTATCATTTGTTTTGCATTTGTTATGAACTACAGCAAGTAGATATGTATAAAATAAAATAAAAATATAACGTTTTTTTATGATTGGTAGGGATCGAACCCGCAAACCTCTTAGATCAAGGACTCACGCTACTCCCACTACGATACAAGGAGAGAGAGAGCTTCTTTGAATAAATATTGTCTCCGTCATTGTATTTCCAGATCTCCGGTATTAAACAACTACCGCTTACAGAGCAGCATTAACCTACAGAATTAAAAGTAATACTAAACTGTGATCAAGAATGTTTAGAGTTGGAAATATTTTTTCATACAGTGCTACATTACCGACTTAGATAGTTCAAATTCAAAGTAGCGTACTGCTTTACCCACACCGCCCGCAGGTGTGTGTGTGTGTGTGTGTGTGTGTGTGTGTGTGTGTGTGTGCGTGTCCACCAACGGAACGATTAATGCGGGTTCAAGTTTTTTGCATTCAACAGTAGTGTACTGCTCTACTGAATACAACCTTTTTGTACATCATACAGGCAGGTGGACAGTTATACTCTGTACGGCACGTAGCAGATAAGCTAATGGGGGTAATTTCAACTGGGAAATTGTTTAAAAGTACCAAATTTTATATATGAACACCAAACGGTTGAGACTTCATAATATCGTAGTAAAAGTCATACATTCGTACTTTGCTCAAATCTAATATGGACATACCAATATAGATTGGTTTGTTTAAAATCAGGGGGAAAGAGGTTCACACAGGTCTAGACCAAATAACCCTGTGCTATGGAGACCCCCCTTATGCAAATTACTTCAAGCTTAGTCTGTCAAAAGCGAGTGTTCTTCTTCCATCTCGACGAATTCTTCTTGTGGAATTTTTGAGTGTCCCCATGGTAAGGAACTTATCCCATTGGATAAGATGTATCTTTTATCATCATGAGTTGATAATGCAATCTTATTAAGCTCAATGGTTTGTTTAACATCACTGTGGTTTTACTCATATGAATGCCTACTAAGTTTTCATTGTAAATGGTTCGGTCGATGCAGCTATTTCCATTGTCAAAGTCCTAATGCCATCATTACAACTGTAGGCTAGCTTCCTTTTTTTATTTTGCATTCAACAGTAGTGTACTGCTCTACCGACTTGTTGCACAGTCAGTGAGCTCAGGTTTTCTTTCTGATTATCACACAGACTGAATACAACCGTTTGTACATCATACAGACAGATGGTCAAGTACTTCTCTGTACGGTACGTAGACTAGACACGTCAGTTAAGGGGGATAGTTTGAATTTGGACATTGTTTAAAAGTACCAAATTTTAGATATAAACAACCATTAACACCAACGGTGGATGAATCAAATAAACTCGATGTAGAGTAGATTGCTTTGTTGAATAGAAGTTTCGTCTTACTCATATGTACAGCTGCCAGTTGTTCTGTAAAAAAAAGAAAAGATGACCTTCCCAAGATCTCATTGTACACTGTTCGATCTATAAAGTTTGGTTTGGCAATCAATTTTTCAGCTATTTCCAATCTTACACTTGAGTCTCTATTTCTGACTTATTCCATTTACACTCGAGTTTAGTCAAACTTAACCTCGTTCTCCATCTTTTAATTCTCAGCTGTTTTGTAATGCCATCATTACAAACGAATCTTTTGTCGTCATGAGCTGACAACGAAATCTTGTTGACTTCCACACTGTACAACTTACTCTCATTCCTTCTGTTTTCTATAAATAAAGAATAAACAAAAGAAAGAAGCTATCCTACACTATAAGTGTAAAGTAGTTTCCCATTCTTTTAAACACACACAAATTACCTCAACAACCTACGTCACTACCCACATACGTCACAAGTGACGTATCACCCGAAACACCCGCATAAAACCCAACTGCAGTTTTGACTTATAATCCCAATCCTACGTCATACCACATACGTCACCCTCTCATGACGTATTCCATCACCTATGACGTCACAAAGTGACGTAGCACCGGAAGCAACCATTTCCGCCTGATGGGCTTTAAACTCAATTAATTCACCCCACCTGCCCTGACAGGTGGTGCGATAGGAGTGACCTTTGGCTACTACTCCTCCCCACTGGAGAGAGCTGGGGTCCGCGTGATCGCCAGGCCACGTACCCACGCAAGCGTGAGCCCCCTGCGGGGAAAACAGTTATGTAGTACTGTATGCTTAACTGTATGGGAGCGAGCTGGTCTAGTGGTTAGAGTGCGGGACTCCGGTTCAAATACCGTTATATGTGGGTCGTGGGTTCAAATACCGCCAAATCACCAATGGATTTTATCTAAGTGATAATGCCGTAGCCACTAGGTCTAGCTCGAAGTTATGTGAAAAACAATTCCGGGCTCGTGCCTAGCGTCCTAGGACAAAAAAAAAAAAAAAAAAACATGAACCTTGCAGAAAATGAATAACTTTTTATTTGTTAGGGAATATAATTGAATCACAAAGCATACTTATTTGCACAAAGAATGCCGGTTTCTTAGGTGTCATATCACAAGAAAATATCTGAAAAAGTTCTCAAATTGATCAATAATGGGATATTACCACATTTATTAGTGTGAGATTGCAAAGTTTGCATTGAGTGCCGTCTAAAGAGATTATTAACTTTTTGCTCGTTATATCTCACCTAGTCGTGTTTTCTTCTGTAGCAACATGTGGCTAAAGAACTTCACAATCTTGTAATTAAAGATACAACAAATTAATTACAAATAAAAGACCCAAACCGTAATGGATTGATTCGTTTTACTTATTTGCAATCAGAGAACCGAAAAAGTAGTCTCTACAGACCACACTGTAAAATAAATCCAAGCCTTTTTCATCTGTCTACAGTCTGTAACTGTATATTTTTGCAACAATTTAAGCTAAATACTATACCAATAAACGTTTTGACTGTATGCAAATAGTTTTAATACTGTAGAAAATAATGGTTATTTTATGCGAATACATAACTCTTTATCTTAAAAACTGATATATTCAAGCTTATGCCTAAGATTTAATCTGTACATTCTCACTGAATCTGCCCATTTCCTATAGTATCTGTGAATTTCAGTGTAAACTTAGCTTAATTCAACCTGTCAGGTTTCGTCCACAATGAGAGTGTCTGTGAATGTCTAAGATAACCAAACTTTACCATTACTCTTGCCCAATAAAGTACGCTTAAACAAACGCAAACACCACTATGCATTGCACGAATAATGTCCATTGTTTTCGAGGTGGTATTGAGATTTTGTGATAAAAACTGGTACTAACAACAGCTAGGATATAAAAAGAATTTCTGGACACTCAATTTAAAGTATTTAAACCATATTTCTTTGCGTATACCAATCAAAGTTTTTGAAAATATCTTTTGAAAATAATTAATTGGAACAAAAAAAAAACATACTTACCACAGTTTGTCTTATCTTTGTTATGAAATCCAACCGATGAAACAAATTTAAATAAATTATTTATATAAAATAGTAGTCTAACATAACATGGGGATTTGATAAGATCTATGTAGTCCAAATTCGTACTGAAAACTGAATACAACAAAAAACTTGGTTGTTACTAAACTATCCCTCCGACGTACTGCTCGAAGTTAAGTTTTTATGATTTGAAATATTTTAAAATTATGACTTAAATCCCCTTCTCAGCCTGCTTTAAGTTCGTAATTCGTTATTTAATAACACTCTAAAAGACAAATGAAACCAGGATAATTTTAATGGCGTAATTTTAGTAGCAAATTGTTTTCAAGATCGTTTTGATAGATAGAAATTTGTTACAAACGTGTAGACCCATATTTATTCGAACAAGTTCGCAAACCGGTATGATCGTTCTAAGGGAACGGGGTTTTGTAGGGGGGGTTTTTTGGGATAAAACATTTTTTCAACTTTTAAGATATATCTTTCCTCTTCTTTCTTCTTCTTTTCCTTCTTCTTCTTCTTCTTCTTCATCTCCTCTTTTATCTTCTTCTTCTGCTTCTACTTCTTCTTCTTCTTGGATCATATTTTATCCCTACCATTTTCAAAAGATAAACAGAAAAATTATGTATTTACTATGTTGAAGTGGTTTTAAATTGTTATTGGCTAAGGATATATTTCCAACTTAGCAATTATACAAAGATTTCAGACGAAGGCACTACGAAGAATAGTTGATGCCCCGTGGTTTGTCTCGAATCAAACAATCCATGAAGATTGCAAAATACCTACAGTGATTGAAGAAATAACCAGAATTAGCAAGAAATATCAAGAAAAACTCAAAACCCACCCAAACAATATTGCCGTAAACTTGCTGGACAACAGTGAATTTCCCAACAGACTAAAAACTGTGAAAGTTCTTGAACTCCCAAACCGATCTGTATAGTTTTAGTTCCATGACATGACTATTTTTTGCAAGATCTTTTACTGGGGAGATTCTTGACCGAGTCACTTAATTATATTATACCTTTTACTAATTGTTCACAGTACTGAACAGATTGTAAAATAAAATAAAGTAAAAAAGGATACATTTGAAAATTCCCACGTTATTCTCCTGGAGTTAAACTGCTATTGTTTGCATTTATTTAATTTATATTAAGCTAATATTATTTAAAAACACACACACTTTATTACCCTCTGTTAAGCATCAAACCTAGGTTCTTGTTAACCCTGATGTTGGTTTAATAGATTTAAGTAAAAATTAAATCAGGGTGAGGAAATTCGCTTGGTCTGCAGGTCTGCTTAGGCGTGGGTGTTTTGTTATCCGGCAAATATTGTGTAAGAACGCCTTCAGCAAACGCGAATAACAAATGTGTCTATAAACACAGATTAGCCCAATGATGCATGAATCCAAGTGTAGGCATATTTTTAAAGTAAAAAAATATATAAAAATAACCTAAATATATTAATATTGTTCATATGCGGGATTAGCAAGGGTTTCCAATAGACTGCATTCTAGAAATACTATATGGTTTATACTATGTCAAACATCTCAATAAACATCAATAGGTAACACGATCAAGGGCTTGAATCCTGCTAAGGTATATTAATATATATAACAATAGTTATTAGGTATTGATTATTTTTCACTCTTAACGTTTTGAAAAAGAACGAATAGGAGAGACTACAAAATTCAATTAACATGTTTCCTTTCTGAATACATATCAACTTTTGATTCATAGTTAGGAAGAACGATGTTTCACAAGAAATTGCTAGGAAAACAACGTCAGTAATTGTTAATGTTTAGCTAAAATAAATGTGAAACATTAAAATGAATACGTTAGTAATAGATCAATTCAAATCCATACAGTTCTGTACTTTTTGGCATATGTGTAAATATTTGCGGCTATATAATAAACAACAAATTTGTTGTCGTAATTAGTAAAACTATTTTATATTTTAATCAACAAGTATTTATTATTATTTTTTTCTCAAAATGTTTTGTCAACAATCACTAAGCAGACAACGTAAGTTTGTCAGATGAAAACATTAACAATGCGTTTGATTTAAATACAAATTAAATACAAAGCAAATTTATAAGTATAAAAAATCATTTATAAAAGATCCTCAAACAAAAGGCTTGTCACAACAAATGTCAAACGATTTTATGGTGGCAATAGGTCCCAAGGTATATAACAACTTCGGGAAGCATTCACACACAATTCTATGTCAACACTTTTTTCTGTTTCGTTCACTTTGATGTTTAAGCTCCAAACCAATACTCCATTACATTAATAAAAACGAAAGATGAAATTCAATTTACTCGCATATTTTTCTATTAAATTATATTCTGCTATCGTGATTTGTCAAGTATAATTAATTGGTAATTTAATAATACTCAAAAAGACAAATGAAACCAGGATAATTTAAATGGCGTCATTTTTGTAGCAAATTGTATTCAAGTATTCCAGTGACACCAGTGTTATTTTCTCAGCCAAGGGTTGGTGTCCAAACAATGATTGTGCACTAATCGATTGCCAAATACTGTATAACATTTGAATTAACTTCAGAAGATACCTGTGAAAACTACGGTTCAAAAGCTAATGAAACTTTTAAGATTTTACCCATTAAATATCATAGTTAGTTACTCTCATCGCTTACCCATGATAAAGATTGTTGACAAGCTAATGGGAGAAAGAATGTGTTAGATTGCTTATACTGTTTATTTTAGGGTGTTTTGGGAGTTTAGAAATTAGTTTTTCATCACATTAAGAAGATATCTTTAGGTACCAAACACGACGAGAAGCATAATGTCAAACGTTTTGCCAACAAAGGGTTAAAAAGTGTGACATGACGACGGATGCAATGCGATTTCAACGCAGTGAGCAGCTCCGTTGACCACGGATAGGGGGGGGGAGCCTTGCAGCGCCAATGGACAGTTCTCACTTACCATTTAAGCACTTTGTAATGTTATACGGTAAACATTGATAAGCATTACAAGGATAGGGGTCATCACTTCTGAAGTTTATTATACAGGGTGTTGAAAATGTCTGGAACCAACATTATATCTGGTGAGTGGTTAAAGAAAAACAACTGATATTTTGTGTACGGATATACTATGGTTTTACCTATCTTTTGGTGCCTTATGCAGTTTTTTACCACTTATAGGGAACGTCCTTTGAAGGATGCAGTAAAAAGTTTTAATGGAAGCCTATGGTAAATGATACATCATTTTAAAGGCCATTTATATTTGAGTAAGGAGCCGTAAGTTTCATCTCAAAAGGACCACCCTAGCAAAAATGGCGACTGTTTGAAATTTAAAAACCCACTTATAGGGAACGTCCTGTGGAGGATGCAGTAAAAAGTTTTAATGGAAGCCTATGGTAAATGATACATCATTTTAAAGGCCATTTTTTTAGTAAGGAGCCACAAGTTTCATCTGAAAAGGACCACCCTAGCGAAAATGGCGACTGTTTGAAGTTTTTGAAAATAGTTGAAAGCTTAATTGGTATTTCTGTTAAAAATAACTTTTGTAAAAAAACACAAACAATTAAGTTAAATGTTTTTTTTTTAGTCATTTTTCAGTTCACCACGTGATAAACTACTGTATTTCGTAACTGGCTTGTAATAGCATTTAAAGGAAACAAATACTGACCATTTATTTAGCAATGTTTTTAAATTTCAAACAGTCACCATTTTTGCTAGGGTGGTCCTTTTCAGATGAAACTTGTGGCTCCTTACTCAGAAAAAAATGGCCTTTAAAATGATGTATCATTTACCATAGGCTTCCGTTAAAACTTTTTACTGCATCCTTCACAGAACGTTCCCTATAAGTGGTTTTTTAAATTTCAAACAGTCGCCATTTTTGCTAGGGTGGTCCTTTTCAGATGAAACTTGTGGCTCCTTACTCAGACAAAAATGGCCTTTAAAATGATGTAACATTTACCATAGGCTTCCATTAAAACTTTTTACTGCATCCTTCACAGGACGTTCCCTATAAGTGGTAAAAAACTGCATAAGGCACCAAAAGATAGGTAAAACCATAGTATATCCGTACACAAAATATCAGTTGTTTTTCTTTAACCACTCACCAGATATAATGTTGGTTCCAGACATTTTCAACACCCTGTATAATTAACTTCAGAAGTGATGTAAAACTCTAAGTTAAAAATCTTAAGTATTTTTTTATTTTTTTATTTACCATCATATCTTTGCAAAACAAAAATATTTATACATTTAAGACAAGTTAAAGTATTACAATTGTGAGATGGTATAAAACAGTAAAAACCCGCTTTCCAGATGAATAGAGCAACCTACAAGAAAAGGACGTTTCTTGTTGCCTTATCTGCGTTTACCGGAATAACTTGGCCAATATAACTCAAGGTATCGTTTACGATAAAAACTAAATTTTTTTATAAACCCATCTTTTATTGTTAAATGACTTAGAATTGAAGATAATATTTGGAAAGTTTTGTCTAATAGTTCTCAAAGCTTACATCTGATTTAATATAATTTATTAGAAAACTATCTAAATAACTGAATTAACCGAAATAAAACAATATATTAAATTTCATATATATGACACACGGAACAGCATTTTCATTATTTCTATGTTTATAATCGAAATTCGGATCAATTCATTCCTACCGTAAACCAAAATTGAAAGATTTACCCTCTAGAGAAACTTCTGTAAAACTAGAAGATTCACTCCAAGTCGAGGAACAAACTTGTAAAGTCACATCCGTCTCCAAGTAGACCTCACAAGTGTTACTCTGCATTGACATGGGCTCTAAACTTTGCATACACAGTAATGCTTTGTGAGTAAGATTTATACATGCAAAGTTTCTATAAGAATTAGTTATACATCGGTATTACATTAATGATGTCTCTTAACATGATTGTAGCTGTATTTTAACATTTTTATAAGCCCACAGAGAGGTAGAGCCTCAATTTTTTTATCCGCACGTACATCCACACACACCAGAGCAGGCCTAATAAATAATAATTATTACTACTCTGAGACTGTGATATTTTGGCAAAATTAATGTAAAAAATTACTAAAATGTGTTTTCACATTTCAGTAAATAACAGTTTCTTTTTCCTTCAGGTGTATTCCAAATGCATTAGATTTAGTAATTATTTAGGTTTTCTGTACGAGGAATGTGTCAAGTGTGTGTTTAGCAAAATGTAATAGCTTTATATCATTGTTAATACCACAATCTTGCTGTATATACTGTTATCACACTTTCTTACACATTATGAACTGTCTTTACTGTTTACTCCTATTTTTATGGGACAGTAAAAAAAGATATTCATCGTTTTATTTTGGATTTCAAACAAAATCTTTGTTAATACCAGTGAAATCGTTATCAAAGAGATAACTTTAAAGTTTTCTTTAAGAAAATTTCCTATATAAAATAAGCTATTATAATATAACCTAAATGTGAAACAAGTTTATGTTGTTCGTTTTGATGTTCCCAGAGGCCGAAATCACTATTCGCTTGGATTCGTATAAATTTACTGTAACCTAACAGAGA